GTGTGAGCAGCAAAGCGGCGATGTGATGGAGAGTCGGGATTCAATTCTTGCGTACTTTCGTAAGAATCATCTCGAGTTTACAACTTTGCGGCACGCGCAGTACGCTACACTGTGCATGCTCATCGAGCTGCAAAGCCAGTGCAATGTAATCGTCTACCGCTGCAATACCTGCATAGCGGAAATTATTGGAAGTCGTTTCCATTGCCCAGTGTGTGACGTAAGTTTGCATATTCATATTGGCCACTGTGTGTTTCCAGATTTTGTTTGTATTTTTTGTCTCAAGTTCTCTTAGTTCTTCTAGATTAATAGCTCCTTGGGTGTTGCTGGTATTATCGCCTACGCTGATTTCTTGTATTCGTTGCTGCCAAAATTTCCTTACATTACCTTTATTCTTGTTCCTTTTGGCCAGGCATTCTTCACCATCACGCTGATTTCTTCAGAAAAGGTTGCCAACCTTAAACCCATGCAGGAGGATGTGTGTGAGCAGCAAAGCGTCAATGTGATGGAGAGTCGGGATTCAATGCTTGCGTACTTTCGTCAGAATCATCTCGAGTTTACAACTTTGCGGCACGCGCAGTACGCTACACTGTGCATGCTCATCGAGCTGCAAAGCCAGTGCAATGTAATCGTCTACCGCTGCAATACCTGCATAGCGGAAATTATTGGAAGTCGTTTCCATTGCCCAGTGTGTGACGTAAGTTTGCATATTCATATTGGCCACTGTGTGTTTCCAGATTTTGTTTGTATTTTTTGTCTCAAGTTCTCTTAGTTCTTCTAGATTAATAGCTCCTTGGGTGTTGCTGGTGTTATCGCCTACGCTGATTTCTTGTATTCGTTGCTGGCAAAATTTCCTTACATTACCTTTATTCTTGTTCCTTTTGGCCAGGCATTCTTCACCATCACGCTGATTTCTTCAGAAAAGGTTGCCAACCTTAAACCCATGCAGGAGGATGTGTGTGAGCAGCAAAGCGGCGATGTGATGGAGAGTCGGGATTCAATTCTTGCGTACTTTCGTCAGAATCATCTCGAGTTTACAACTTTGCGGCACGCGCAGTACGCTACACTGTGCATGCTCATCGAGCTGCAAAGCCAGTGCAATGTAATCGTCTACCGCTGCAATACCTGCATAGCGGAAATTATTGGAAGTCGTTTCCATTGCCCAGTGTGTGACGTAAGTTTGCATATTCATATTGGCCACTGTGTGTTTCCAGATTTCGTTTGTATTTTTTTGCCTCAAGTTCTCTTAGTTCTTCTAGATTAATAGCTCCTTGGGTGTTGCTGGTGTTATCGCCTACGCTGATTTCTTGTATTCGTTGCTGGCAAAATTTCCTTACATTACCTTTATTCTTGTTCCTTTTGGCCAGGCATTCTTCACCATCACGCTGATTTCTTCAGAAAAGGTTGCCAACCTTAAACCCATGCAGGAGGATGTGTGTGAGCAGCAAAGCGGCGATGTGATGGAGAGTCGGGATTCAATTCTTGCGTACCTTCGTCAGAATCATCTCGAGTTTACAACTTTGCGGCACGCGCAGTACGCTACACTGTGCATGCTCATCGAGCTGCAAAGCCAGTGCAATGTAATCGTCTACCGCTGCAATACCTGCATAGCGGAAATTATTGGAAGTCGTTTCCATTGCCCAGTGTGTGACGTAAGTTTGCATATTCATATTGGCCACTGTGTGTTTCCAGATTTTGTTTGTATTTTTTGTCTCAAGTTCTCTTAGTTCTTCTAGATTAATAGCTCCTTGGGTGTTGCTGGTATTATCGCCTACGCTGATTTCTTGTATTCGTTGCTGCCAAAATTTCCTTACATTACCTTTATTCTTGTTCCTTTTGGCCAGGCATTCTTCACCATCACGCTGATTTCTTCAGAAAAGGTTGCCAACCTTAAACCCATGCAGGAGGATGTGTGTGAGCAGCAAAGCGTCAATGTGATGGAGAGTCGGGATTCAATGCTTGCGTACTTTCGTCAGAATCATCTCGAGTTTACAACTTTGCGGCACGCGCAGTACGCTACACTGTGCATGCTCATCGAGCTGCAAAGCCAGTGCAATGTAATCGTCTACCGCTGCAATACCTGCATAGCGGAAATTATTGGAAGTCGTTTCCATTGCCCAGTGTGTGACGTAAGTTTGCATATTCATATTGGCCACTGTGTGTTTCCAGATTTTGTTTGTATTTTTTTGTCTCAAGTTCTCTTAGTTCTTCTAGATTAATAGCTCCTTGGGTGTTGCTGGTGTTATCGCCTACGCTGATTTCTTGTATTCGTTGCTGGCAAAATTTCCTTACATTACCTTTATTCTTGTTCCTTTTGGCCAGGCATTCTTCACCATCACGCTGATTTCTTCAGAAAAGGTTGCCAACCTTAAACCCATGCAGGAGGATGTGTGTGAGCAGCAAAGCGGCGATGTGATGGAGAGTCGGGATTCAATTCTTGCGTACTTTCGTCAGAATCATCTCGAGTTTACAACTTTGCGGCACGCGCAGTACGCTACACTGT